CTCCTCCTCCTCCTCCTCCTCCTCCTCTTCTTCTTCTTCTTCTTCTTCTTCTTCTTCTTCTTCTTCTTCTTCTTCTTCTTCTTCTTCTTCTTCTTCTTCTTCTTCTTCTTCTTCTTCTTCTTCTTCTTAGCATTGCCCTTGTTTGCCTTTGTACGCTTTCGTGCCTTGTGGAAGGGAACTCAAAAGGCATTTGAATGCCTTCTGGGGGCAATTAAATGCCCTCCGAGCTGCCTTTTCCTATGAACTGACGCGCTCGCTAACCTGTCCCTTGACTGCCTCGGTGGAGAGCCAACACACTGGCAGCCATTCACTTGTGGAGCGTGAATGGAAAGTTGGGGGCGCGGCTACGGGATGCCCCACCATGACGACGGGGCAGGCGGGGCCACTGCAAGGCAGAGCTTCCTTTGGCTTCCTGCAATCAAATGCACTCGTTTTCCACAGCTGCGATAATATCCACAGCCCCTGGAAGGATCAGTATGGCTGGTAGGTATTTAGGCTTCCCCCTTCAGGCCTCACTGACTCTTGCTGTGAGCTTGTTTTGTAGAGCAGAGAAGAAGCTGTGTTCTAGTCTCAGAGTCCACAGAGCTGGTCTGCTGCATGAGAGGTGATATGTGTTCAGGTGTAGAGGCCCGCCCCTTCCTTCTCCAGTTTTGCTGCACTCCCCATTGCTGTGCCGTGCTTCCAACCAAAGTACAGATAATACTAACCTTGACAAAAAAACAGTGGATAGACTCTGAATAAGGCATGTACTTACAATGCAATTGTTCTGGAAAGTGAGTAGAGAGGGAGGTGTTTGGTTCCACCTCCTGCAGAAGCCATTTTGGATTTGGTTCTGCCTCCTGTGGTGGCCATTTTGGAATGGTGCTCACCACCAATGTTCCCTCTAAGCTGTGGAGTCTTGTGAGCAAAAATTCTACCTTGTGAGCTCCTGGCATTAAAGTTGTGAGCGAGCGATTTGGCTGCTGCATAAATTAGTTTGCTCTGGAGCCCATCCCTTCCTGAGCGAAGGCAAAAATGTGTGAACCGAAGGCTAAATAACTGTGAGCTAGCTCACACTAACTCAGCTTAGAGGGAGCACTGCTCACTACCCCCTCTCAAAATTCCTGCAGGCTCAAAAAGGCTGGGGGTTCTGATTAGAAACATATAATATGATTACAAGTTCCCCCATGACTTCTACCCTATCTAGTTGAAAGCTAAGTTAAGTTTAGCTAAAAATGTTCCCAAAAGGAGAAGGGAACGAGGAGGAAAAGTCTCCACTTTCCCCTCATCAGGTTTCTCTTTCTGTTCCTGCAGGTGATGGACAGGAGAGTGGGAAAGAGGACAGATGGGAAACGGAAGAAAAACTGGAGTGGAGGAAGAAATCCATTCCTTATGACCATATAGGCTTTCATGAAATTCCAGTCCAAGAAGGAAGTAACAAGTTAGACAAATGGAATAAGCTTCCTTTAAGTGTGGAAATTTTAACTAATGAATCAAATCTTAGCACAAATCAAGGAAGTTACTCAAGTGAGAAACCCTGTGAAGGCATGAAGTGTGAAGAGATCATCAGTCCCAGCACAAGGTTTTCAAGACATCCAAGTAACCACACTGTGGAGAAACCCTATAAATGCTCAGAGTGTGGAAAGGGCTTCAGTCAGAGAGGAAACCTTAAGTACCATCATAGAACCCACACAGGGGAGAAGCCGTACAACTGCTCGGTGTGTGGAAAGAGCTACAGTCAGAAATCTCATCTTAACAAGCACCAAATAATCCACACAGGGGAGAAACCATACCAGTGCTCAGTGTGTGGAAAGCGCTTCAGTCAGAGCGCGCATCTTGTTAGACATGAAAGAATCCACACTGGGGAGAAACCGTACAAATGCTCAGTGTGTGGAAAGAGCTTCAGTCAAAGCACAAATCTAACTTACCATGAAGCAGTCCACACTGGGGATGTACTGTATACGTGTTCCGTGTGCGGGAAAAGCTTCAGTCGGAGCACGCATCTTCTTAGACATGAAAGAATTCACACAGGGGAGAGATCAGTGTGTGCAAAGAACTTCAGCCGAAGCACAAGTCTAACGTTGCTGGAAAGAATCCATGCTGGGGAGATACCAGAGAAATGTTCAGAGTGCGGAAAGAGTTTAAGTCATCTCACAAGACTTCTCTCCAGTCAAAAAATACACGTGGAGATGAACTCATTAGCATGCTCGGAGTGTGGAAAGGGTTTCTGTCACAGCACCTGCCTTTCGATGCATCAGAGAATCCACACTGAGGAGAAACCATATACATGCTCTGAGTGTGGAAAGGGCTTCAGTTACAGAATTCACCTGACTATCCATCAGAGAGTCCATACGGGGGAGAAGCCTTATACATGCACAGAATGCGGGAAAAGCTTCAGTCACAACACAAGCCTTATTTCACACACACGAATTCACACAGGGGAGAAACCATATAAATGCTCAGAGTGCGGCAAAAGCTTCACTCAGAGCACAAGCCTTAATTCTCATAGACGAATCCACACAGGGGAGAAGCCATATACCTGCTTCGAGTGTGGAAGAGGCTTCCATCAACGCTCACAGCTTACTTCCCATCAAAGAATCCACACAGGGGAGAAACCATTTCAGTGTTCTGAGTGTGGAAAGAGTTTTAGCCATAGCACAAGCCTTTCAAAGCATCGAAGAACCCACACTGGGAAAAACTGTATTAATGCTCCTAGTGTGGAAACGGCTTCAATCACAGGCCAGTCATTTCTTATCATCCCAGGAGCTATACAGGAGAGAAACGGTTTCCTTGATCAAAATGTGGAACAAGCTTCATTTGTAGGAAATACCTCATTGTACATCAACACGTTCACACAGTGGTAAATGCTTGGAATCTTAGCTATGTCTGTAGTGTGGAAAGAACTTCCGAAGAACTTCATTTCAGTTGGTTGATGCCCAGAAGACCATGTAAACATCTCTGGTTAATCAAATGTTAATAATCAAATGACAGTCTACCTTTGGAAGTTTATCTGTATAAATTCTCAAACATTGTGCCAAAAAAAAAAAAAATCCAGGTGGTATCTAAAGTACATTATAATAGAAGGATTGAATGTGGGAAAGAAAGTGCGGTGGGAATGAACATTTTGTGTGGCATCTGAGTTGTCTGTTGGTCAGACATCTTGTCTTCTCGTGTGTTGTGATGAATATTTTCTCAGAAACCAATGGCATAGATCCATCGCAGGGCTCTTTTTGTTGCAGGAACTTCTTTGCATATTAGGCGACACACCCCTAATGTAGCCAATCCTCCAAGAGCTTACAGAGCCAGTTTGGTGTAGTGGTTAAGTGCGCAGACTCTAATCTGGGAGAACCGGGTTTGATTCCCCACTCCTCCACCTGCAGCTGCTGATGTGTGACCTTTGGTCAGTCACATGCTCTGGCACAGCTGTCCTTGAAAAAGAGCCGTTTCTGTCACTCAGCCCCACCCACCTCACAGGGTGTCTGTTGTGGGGAGGAGAAGAGAAAGGAGTTTGTAAGCCGCTCTGAGACTGCAAGTGAAGGGCCGGGTATAAATCCAATCCTCCTCCTCCTCCTCCTCCTCCTCCTCCTCCTCCTTCTCCTTCTTCCAGGGGCTACTGTAAGCTCTTGGAGGATTGGCTACATTAGGGGTGTGTCACCTAATATGCAAAGGAGTTCCTGCTACAAAAAGAGCCCTGAATCCATGTGATACCACAAAGATACTGCAAAGGGAAATCCATCACTGACTGGACCAGTTCTGTTGTTCTGTGCCATTGGATGCAACGTTTCCATGTCACTGTGTTTCAGGCTCTCTGGCTCCAGCTCATCTTACAATGGAAGAGATGTTAGTTTCCTTTTGAAGGAAACCTCTGACACTTCTGCCATGTCTGTCTATAAATATACATATAAAGGTGGTGCGAGCAGACTGTAGCCTACACATTGGGGAGGGGGTCATGGCTCAGTGGCAAGAGCGTCTGTTTGGCATGCAGTTCACAAGTCCAGTCCCCAGCATCTCCAGTTAAAAGGATCAGGATTTAGATGAAGTGAAAGACTTCAGCCTGAGACCATGGAGAGCCACTGCCCATTTGAGCAAACAATACTGCCCTTGGGGGACCAAGGGCCTGATTCAGTGTAATGCAGTATCATGCATTCATGTGTGTTCACCTAAGTGGCAGTGGTTAAGTGCACGGACTCTAATCTGGGAGAACCGGGTTTGATTCCCCCACTCCTCCACTTACACCTGCTGATGTGACCTTGGGTCAGTCACAAGCTCTGGCACAGCTGTCCTTGGAAAAGAGCAGTTTGTGTCAGGAGTTCTCTCAGCCCCACCCACCTCGCAGGGTGTCTGTTGTGGGGAGGGGAAGGGAAAGGAGTTCGTATGCCGTTCTGAGACTCCAAGTGAAGGACGGGGGTATAAACCCAATCTCTTCTTCTTCTTCTTTTACCTCACAGGTGTCTGTTGTGGGGAGGGGAAGGGGTTTGTAAGCCCCTCTGAGACTCCAAGTGAAGGGCGGGGGTATAAACCCAATCTCTTCTCTTCTTCTTTTTCTTCCCTCTAAGCTGAGTTAGCGTGAGCTAGCTTACAGTTTTTTAGCCTCCAGCTCACACATTTTTGTCTTGGTTCAGGAAGGAGGGCTCCAGAGCAAAGTAATTTATGCAGGAGCCAAATCGCTCGCTCACGACTTTAATGCCAGTTGCTCACAAAGTAGAATTTTTGCTCACAAGACTCCACTGCTTAGAAGGAGCATTGCTAAGTGGTTAGAATGCATCAGGAACTTATAGCCGTAGAAAAGAGCAAAAGGCCAGTAGCACCTTAAAGACTAACAAAATTTGTGGCAGGGTATGAGCAAAAGCTCGCACCGTGCCAGAAATGTTGTTAGTCTTTACTGCTGCAGACAGATGAACACGGCTACCCGTCTTGGTCCATCGTATCAATATTGCTGTGTGTTGTTCTTTTATTTCAGAAACGTCTTCCAGTACAGATCGCTTGCTAGCTCTGGAAATATTTCTACAATTGTGATGTCCTTTCTCAAAAGAATATCTGACAGAGCTGGGAAGGGTAGAGGCATGGCCAGTCAGTACCAGTACCAGGAAAGCCGGGGCACAAAACTCAGAACAGTTACGGGAGCCATAATGGATCCTGACCAGTGTTCCCTCTAAGCTGAGTTAGTGTGAGCTAGTTCAAAGTTTTTTAGCCTCTGGCTCACACATTTTTGTCTTCGCTCAGGAAGGAGGGCTCCAGAGCAAATTGATTTATGCAGCAGTCAAATCGCCCGCTCACAACTGTAATGCCAGGAGCTCACAGTGTAGAATTTTTGCTCACAACACTCCACAGCTTAGAGGGAACGTTGATCCTGACTGGAGTGAAGTGGGTCACCCTGTAATGTTACTTGGCTTCGGGGGTCATTTCCTGCAGGAGCGCACAGGAGCGGAGCTCCGGCAGTAAAGAGCCCCGGGAGCTGGCACATGCGACAAGCCCCACCCCCTGCTCCCAGCAGCCCACCGTCAGAGCAAGAAGCAGCCAGGTAAACTGCAGAGGACCCCCCCCCCCCCGACCCCCCCCCCCCCGGCTCACTACAGTCCAAAACAGTCCAGTGGCACCTTTAAGACCAAGTTTTATTCAGGTACAAGCTCTCCCTTCTCTGCGAGGATAGATCTGCACGTTCCCCCCACCCCCAATAGCTAGCAATCCAAAACAGTCCAGTGGAGCTTGAGTGGTGGGTGTTGCCTTCTGACACACGGTGATGTCGGGGTATGGCATATGCAAACGAGTTATGCTAATGAGCTCCTGCACCTCTTTTTCTATGAAATGACCCCTGCTTGGCTTCATTACAGGCCAGTAACCCTGTGAGTTAAGACATTTCTTGGTTTCATCATCATCACAAGCCCTTGGGATGCAACAGAGAAGTTTCCTATCCTGGGGGCACAGGAAAGGTTGTGTTCTGCCTACTGCTCCTGGATAGGACCACACCTCAAGGACTTGTTAATGAAACAATGGAGGAATTTTGGGGGAAGAGATAAAATGCCAACTGCTGCTTATCTTACCTGCCTGGAAAGCTTGTCTTGTGTCCCTTCTAGGACGCAAGAAATCACAAACAAATCTGAAGTCCAAACACGCTAAATAAATGTAACGATAATTATATGGAAAGCAAAGTCAACAATAATGCCAAACTCTCATGTATTCAGGGGTCATTTCCTGCAGGAGCAGAGCTCCGGCAGTAAAGAGCCCAGGGGGCGGGCACATACAACAAGCCCCACCTCCTGCTCCCAGCAGCCCTCAGTCAGAACAAGAAGCAGCCAGGTAAGCTGCAGCGCCCCCCCTCCAAAACAGTCCAGTGGCACCTTTAAGACCAAGTTTTATTCAGGTACAAGCTCTCCCTCCTCTGCGAGGGCAGATCTGCACGTTCCCCCCACCCCCAATAGCTAGCAATCCAAAACAGTCCAGTGGAGCCTGAGTGGTGGGTGTTGCCTTCTGATGCACTTCCAGTGATGTCCGTGGGTGTGGCACATGCAAATAAGTAACGCTAATGTGTTATGCTAATGAGCTCCTGCACCTCTTTTTGTACGAAATGATCCCTGGATGTATTATTATAGAATTGCAAACATAATAAGAAACAATTCTCCAAAAGTGGGTGGTGACAAACACAAAACCCACGATAAGTCACAGCGTTTCTTAAAAGCAGCAGACTTTCTTCCTAAATAGAACAAGCTCACAGATTTAAAAAAAAATGTTTATATAAAATATCACATATCCTTGAATTAAAGTCCAAACATCTATATACTGTGGCTTGTAGTAAACGAGGTCCGTTCCGAGTAGAAAAACGCAGTTCCGGATAATATAATCAGCGTTTCAAATCTATTCCTTCGTCGGGTACATCCGGTAAGTCTTCATTAGCATACAATGAATGCACAGGTATGAGTGGGGTCCCGTTCAAAAGATTCCAATTCGGCACAGCTCCATATCTCCTGCAAGTTGGAATTGCCTCTACCCAGCAGGTTGTTCCCCGGGACAGAGGAAGGGGTCAGAATGCCACCTCTCTGGTGAAAGCTAGTATTCTGGGTTCCCAGCCCAGGAGGTCTCACTGCGTCCCTCCTGGGACCACTGAGAGTATTCCCTGCCGGGGTGGGGAAAGAGGTTGAACACTGAATCCCTAATAAGGGGTCTGCTAGGCTTCATGTGCGTAAAATAAATAGGAACGCTCTCTCTGTGATGGGTCCCCGACCTGTTGGAGCCTGCAGAAGCCTTTGGAATTCCACAAAAGTATGGTGGGCTCTGCAGCAAAATGACTGTCACAGGAGGTGAAGTTAGCCATGAAAGGGCTGCCACGGGAGGCAGAGCTAGCTACAAAATGGCTGCCACAGGAGGCGGGGCTAGCCGCGAAAGGGCTGTCGCAGGTTGCTTACAGTCACTAGCGCTGCCTGGCAGTTGCTGCTAAAGCACTGTTTTAGACGTCCACAACAGCTAATCAAATCTTCAAAGACCAATGAGAAGCAATGGCTCCACCTGCTTTCTAAAAACATTTGGTGGGTGCCAGGAAAGGTGTCCGCATGGGCCAACATGCCCTTGGGCAGCACATTGGGGGCCCTGCCCTAGGAAGAAAGGCCAGATTCTCTTTATCTTGCGTATCAGAGAATCATAGAGTTGGAAGGGACCTCCAGGGTCATCTAGTCCAACCCCCTGCACAGTGCAGGAAATTCACAAATACCTCCCCCTCCACACCCACGGTGACTGCTGTTCCACGCCCAGAAGATGACCAAAAAAACCACAAAACCTTACAGGATCCCCGGGCAAACTGGCCTGGAAGAAGATTGCTTCCTGGCCCCAAAGTGACGATCAGCATTTCCCTGGGTGTGTAAGAAAGGGCTTCAAGAAATAAGCACTGAGGCAACCCTTCCTGCCCTCCCTCTCATGAGGTCTTGTCAACTGCGGTTTGGGAGATGCCTGAAGATATCAATGTGGCATTTGGGAAGCGGAATGACCCATCAGTGGCTACTAGCCACAAGGTATAGGTGGCACACCCTGTCTGAGGCAGT